CCGACCAACTCAACAAGCTCTCCGACCACCCCCGCGATCTCTTCGACCACCTCGGCAAGCCCACCGACCACTTCGGCGACCACTCCGACCACCTCAGCAATCGCACCGACCACATCGGCGAGCTCTCCGACCACTTCGGCGACCTCTCCAACCACCACACCAGCTGTGTCCCTACATGCCATGTGAACCAGTCACAGTCTGACACGTGTTAACCCTGAATTAATCAGCCTTAATTTAATCTTCAAAAATACATAACTAATTCATACGACCTCAGAAAAATACAAGACCAGGACCAAAATTCATCTAAAAACAAGCTCTACGCAATGAACCCATGTTTGAGTGCATTTGGCTCTTTTGAATTTTCATTGCTTCTTTGTGCTACTCTATAGACGTCGCTAATGCGACTATAATGCGATCGTTTGTAGACTCGGAGAAGAACCAGACGGACGAGGACCGAGAGTACCGTGAGGAGTACGGAGACGACTGCACTGAAGGTGCCACATCCCACCCAATCTCGTAGCACCTATTACACATGGCTAAAATAGAAATGCTAGTGCTTTACTTTATTGTTATGATCACAATATGATAGGACTTGCATGGTAGTATGCTTTCTTGATGGCCTTTACCTTGACGCAACCTTACCCCTGCTCACCCTGCTATTAGGCTAGTCACACATTTGCTGCTATATTTCATTGCTTATTACTTCTACTACGCTTGTACTATATTGATGCGTGGTGGAAAACTGGTGTTATCTGGACTATGGGGAGAGTGCTGCGTGTGTGACTTGGGTGCGTGGAGGGTGAGGGTTGTGTCGACCGAGTTGGAGTATACGACGAGCCTGGGGCATGTCTTGTCATGGGGTGCTACCTGGGCACCTCTGGAATGGATACCTGTGGTGGGTAAATGGTATATGAGGTGGCCCTGGGTGTGAACCTGTGATGGGAGGAGCCTAGGGTGGAGGTGCTGTGGTGGCACATTAAATGGAAACCCTGATGAAGACATTCTGGCTTGGTCATCCCTAAGGACTTACTAGTACTCAGATTCACCGGAAAGCCTTACGTACCACTCGCCCTACATGGTGCGGGACGGCCGGACTACTGGGTAGGTATTGCCACTACTGCTAGGTTGATAGCGGACAGTGTGAGGGAGGTACGGGGCACGGAGGATTTCCCCCACACCCTTCCAAGACTTCATGGAGACCTTGTGGACCCGGCTCATGACTCACAGTTTCAGCCACTCCAGACTAGACCTGGGGTGTACCAGGGCTGAATGGTAGAGTGGCATTATCCTAGGCTAGCAAGCGGCCGGAATCAGCCCAGTTGATGACGGTCAGCGAGGAAGGCGGATCTTGTGGTTATATAAAACCTCTGTAGAGTGTATGGTTGATCGATCGATACATATGCCAACTTGTTGGCTGTGGACCTTTCCTGGGTTTCGCTTAAACTTGATAGTGAGATGACTCCTTCTCTTCTCCCCCTGGGAGTGAGTGTTCGGACGTAGCCAGGGGCTACGGGCCTTGAGACAGTGCCGAGAGGGAGTTGGCCTGTCGACTGAGCGATGGTATGGTGATGGTGTGGAGATGGTGGTATATCGATCCCAGGATCGAAACCTGGCTCTAGACGGAAATGGGGTGGAATGGGTGTGGGAATGGTGTTAAAACTTGACCAACTATTATGTGCTAATACATAGGAAACCCCAGCCTTTAAGGTTCCTTTTGATTATATCCAACTTGCATCCAATTAGCACAAAGCAATGCTCATAGGGTGGGAGTGGCCAGTACAATCGTACTGATAAATTTTGGCACACAGGTTCTACTGAGGAGTATAGCTCCGAGGAGTTTGATGGTTGAGGGGTTCGTTCCTACGCTCAAGTTTGGCGATCTTATCTTCAAGCTGTTCTGAATGAATGCTACTTTTGATTCCACCAATGCAGCGATGTAATAATTTATGTAATTCCACACTATTTGTACTCTGATATTACGTTGTATGGATGTGATATTCGATTGGAATTTTGGGTAATATGATCTACAACGGTCTTATTACACTTCGACTCTGTGGATTTCCCTTCGCGGAAATCAGGTCGCTTCAATGTTAGGGCAGCACGTAAAATTTCTTTGAAGAGTCTTTCCTTTTATATTCGTGACTTTATCCGATAACCCTTCGTTTTCATTAGATCTTGAGGGACAACTGGCTGCTTCTCATCGTGAGATATAATCTATGGTCTTATAAGTAAAGAATCTACTGTTTGAATGTCACTTTTGATCCTTTGTCTTTTATTATTATTTTTTGTTCTAAAGACGATACTCTAGGTGTCAACTATTTTGAGCCGATGAGACACGGCTATGAAGCATTGACCCAAATATTTGTGTAGTACTTCTTTATGCATTTTTGATTGAGGTCTACGCAATAACAGATCCGTATCATACGGCGGTTTGCACATACAAACCAACAGATCCAAGGCACTACCATAATGTTGTTACCTCCGAGGGTTAAGGGATGCAGATCTGCATCTCGATCCTCCAAGGTACAAAGATTATGGAATCTAGAGAATGACGCAGCACATCACAAAACTTCACCCTCGGTGAGGTGCTATATCTTCCATCTTGCAACCCTCACGGTCAAGGGATGCGATTTGCTTCTTGAACGTGAGAGCTATAAGATATAATGTAAAGCACCCAATCTTGAAGTACGAGCACCTCGCAAACTTGGAGCACCCCTAATCGAGTATGGAGCCCCTGAACAGGAGAGAATCGGATGATTGCAGATCTTCTGTTAACAAGATCTGCAAGAAGATCTACAATCATCAAGGTTTACCTCCTATTCAGCAGCAGCACCTCGCCAAGGATGGGACAAGGAGCACCTCACAAAACTTGCAACTGAATCTCAGTGAGGTTCAATTCTTTATATTCCATAATCTTGCTACCTTTGAGGATAGAGGGATGCAGATATGCATGTCGATACTCAAGGGCAGCAAGATTATGGAATCTAAAGCACCCAGTCTTGAAGGCCTTCTCCAAACACTAACATCTCTATAAGGTGCTTTATCTCCATCTTGCACCTCGTGAGAGGAGGTGCAAGGAGAAAGACAAAGCACCTCTAGGCGATGAAGAAAGATGATTAGCTCACGAGTATGTGGATTCAAGAGTGTGTGGATTGAGACCAAGAGGTGCATCTAGACCCGGGTTAAATAGGCCAAACTTTAAGATGGAGAAGTGCAAGTAATGATGCAACTGTGTTATGGATAGTTGAGAAATAACTCACGTTGATTTTGCCGTTGATAGACCAAATGGTCGTGGAGGGCCGTCGGCCGTAACACGTATCCCAATCGGCTTGGTTTTCATACGACGGAGAAAATACCACTGTCGCATCTATTTTTAACCCGTCGGTGGTAGAAGTTTCAACTGCCAGTTTCCTTCCTTATGAGGCCTCACTATCGGTCCAACCGGCGGTGGAAGTATAACACCATTGCTTCTTTCGCTACGACAGTGAAAGTGGCGACAATGGTGTGTCAATCTGTAGTAGTGAAACGAACATGGCAAGCCACTATGTCGCATTGACACGACGTGTAAACAGGCTGAACAAGCGTCTAGGCGAATAGTGATCATTATTTATGTAATATTTACCATGAAATCATTAATTATACAAACAGTATAAAATAATTTACAATAGTACATAAATTAATAAAAGTATTCAAACAATATACAACAAAAAATATATTAGGTTTAAACTAAATTAGAAAAATACTAAAATTAATTAATATTTATGTGTCATTAATGATATTAAATTAATATTAAACATTATTTATAGATATACTATTAAATAGTTTGAATGCATTGATAGTAAAATAGTAAGTCACCAGTCATGCAAAGACAACTTCTTAATATATTCATTATATACCTTGTTCTTTCACGGATACAGATAAATGTTGGATATTGTAGATTTCTGTCAGATACGGATCAGTAATCAAAATGAGAAAAATTCGAAAACAAATTTGGATACATCCATTTGGTATCCACATTAAAAACGGATACGAATATGAATTTATCTATCTTATAAGTTTTACCGGATACGAGCAGACGAATTTGAGCGAGTCTTGCATGGGAAGAACAGACGAACGCCAAAGCTAGAGGTCAAGCTCATGACTTGCAAGACACCTACGTCAAGTCTAAGAGGGCGTTTGGATGCCCTAGGAATTATAGGAATATAGATAATAGATAGTGATTTTGAGAATCTAGATTTTGAGTACAAATAATGTAATCTGTTTGGATTCTCAAATTATACTTTGGACAATGAATACTTGAGCTAAATGTCTAAAGTACCCTTTAGATAGTTTGTGCATAACAGCAAATACAATAATGAGCATATAGCCAAGCTAGTCAGCAGTTTTGCTGACGTGGAGGACAGAAGAGAGGAGAGAGAAGATAGCTTGGCTCTTATGCAAGTAATAAGTTGGACACAGAAGCATAGACATTTATGGGAACAAACAAAAGTGCACGTGAGGAGGAATAGAAAAGATAAAGTAAGACATTGTATCATCTCTAATATATATACAACTAAAAAAACAAAATGTAAACATTTTTTAGTGCAACATTCCAATATGGATTTATCGTACCTGCTGTGTTCCCACAGCCTCGCTCCAACGCGTGGCCGTCCCTTGCCATATCTATCACGTCTAAAAAGACTAAAAAGTGGACAGGTGCGACTATTGTTTTTGAGTCATCAGTCTGCCTCCTCCTCGCGATACCGCGACGCTGCCTCCACGCCCTGCCCTGCCCCTGTCTGGTGAAGCAGACGACACGCCCTGCCCCCGTCGCCTCGGCGCTGCCTCCACGCCCTTCCACGGCCGTCGCCGAATCGCCCCGCTCGAGTCTCCCTGGCGCGGGTCCGTGGAGGAGATCCCCAACCCTACTAGGCCCCGCCACACCCTCAATCGGTGGCCACCGGCACTGTTGCTGCACCAGGTGGAGGAGGAGCAGGTAGAGCGGGGATGCGGCGCGCGAGATGAACCGGTGCCCGTCGGAGTGGTACTTCCAGAAGTTCCTGGAGGAGGTCGTGCACGATAGCCAACCCGTCCCCACAATCGCCGCGAAGGAGGAGGAAGGGGAGCATGAGCAGAGTACCGTCGACGTGCTCCTCGAGGTGTTGCCCAGCCGCCACGTGCAGGCGACAGAACTCCACGGCTCTTGGTGCTCGCGCTGGCACAACGGCGCTCCTGCTTCTCCTCCGCAGGGGCGCCGCCATGGGGAAGACGCGCGCGCTTCTCCTCGCTCTCCGCCACGTGTGCCCTCACCCGGGCCACGTCGCCTAGGCCACCCTGCGCTCCCTCCCGTCCCCTCGTGCACTAAGGGCGGCGAGCCGGAGCTCGGCCTGGACAAGAATGAGCCATCGTCTCTCCGCCAGACGCCACCTGCTGAAATGCTGGTTCGCAGGTGCTCGGGTCAACATCGGCCACGGACGCAGGAGTCTGGCTCGTGCCACATGAGTCAGGGTCACCGCCGACGTCGAACTTGATTTTGGCCTCGAGCTCGACATGGACGACGCCTACCATATGTTCGATGAAATGCCTGCATGGTAATTTTTTGCCTCTCTTTTTGTTGATGATTTAGGCGTTGTTGTCCTCTTTGTCAATGGCACTGCTTGTTCCCAGAGCTCGGCCTGGACAAGACCGAGCCGCCGTCTCTCCGCCGGACGCCACCTGCTGAAATGCTGGTTCGTAGGTGCTCGGGTCACCACCGGCCATGGATGCAGGAGTCCGGCTCGTGCCACCTTCCCCCAGCGGCTCCACGGCTAGGCCATCGGCCGTTTGTGAAACATGAGGTCAGGGTCGCCGCCGGCGTCGAACTTGATTTTGGCCCCGAGCTTGACATGGACGACGCCTACCATGCGTTCGATGAAATGCCTACATGGTAATTTTTTACCTCTCTTTTTTTTGTTGATTTGTCCACTTTTTCTGGATTTAGGCGTTGTTGTCCTCTTTGTCAATGGCACTGCTTGTTCCCAGGTACTGCAATTTTCTGGTAGTGTTCGGCTTGAATAAACTGGTCAGGTTCAGACAGGAGACTTTATAGGGTGTGCTCTGAAAAATGAATTGTGCATGCCCTGAAGATTTGATTGGGACATGTTTCTTGTGATGAAAATTTGACATTTGAAATATGGTAGATGAAGTGGGGGGAATAGTCCATGAATCAACATTTTCAATATTTGATCGTGCAGCCCTAAGTATATTGATTTGGGAAGTTGGGACCGAAGTTTTCATTTAGAGTGATGATACTGGTTATTTCTTTCAGAAACGAGAAACCTATGAAGATCTTGGTCTACTACTATGGCACTCTTATGGTACAATGGCTGCACTACTCCACGTGTGTTAAATACTTGCAGCCTTCTGAATTTAACTCAAGGAAACTTGTGACATCATAGTAGCTATGAACTTAGTATGTTGTTTGCATTAGTGTGGTGTACATGTATATTGTTTCATTTCATAAGAAATCAGTTGAGTCTTTCATGGGTTCTTTTCTGATTGAAGTTTGTATGGCTACTTGAAACATATGCAGGAAACTGTGTCAATTTATCGATCACTCTTTCACCCCAAATTTATCGTCTGACCAATCAACTCCAATCTGCAATGTGCTTGCACTCCTCCAGGTATGCTTTTACATCAGAAAGCAAAGTACTCATGGCACTGGAGATGCTTTAAAGCGTCATCTATCAGTTCATTTTGGTATTAAAATCTATCAGTATTATCAGGGATACAGGATATGTTAACTTAGCCATGATAATATGAAAAAGCTGCCAATTTCATAGTATACTGTAATATGGGGTTATTTTAAAGTGCCATTTATCAGTTCATGCACCTCGAATTGGTTTTGTCCATCACTCTATTTCCTTAACTTCTTTTTTGTATTACTTGTTTCTGCAGTGTGTCGCATCGCACCCTGATACTAGGATGCCATTCGTAAATGGTAATGAGCTACCCAACCATTACTCAAACATAATATCTTTTATGTTTGCTTCTATGCTGACTACTCAGTTGGCACGCTCCTTGTACTAGCTACTTGTTTGAGGAGAGATGAAGATACATAAGCAAGCAGACCCTAGAGAAGTTGAGATTTAATCACTTGTTCTTGTGGTTTCTTATGCTAACACTCATACAGATTCTAATATCTTTTTCTCCAATCTCTCATGCATAAATTTGTTTGCTTTCCATCGACATACTTGATTGCCTTTTAACATTCCGAACAATGTAAATTTATGACTTGATTTGGAAAGAAATTATCAATCACTTCTAGACAAATTTCTTGATTGGGTCTGTGATGCTATTCCTACAAAATTGAATTTGGTCATCCTCTGACGTTTCTCTTGTTTGGTCTACAGATCGAGAATGCTTCTAATCATTATATGAGAAATATGAGAATGAATCTACCAAATATATTATCTTCAGATCTCCCTTTTTTGTAGTTGACATGAGAAAATGCAGTATTGGAATATGGATCTTCCGACTCTATGTTTCACTTCTCAGGTGAATTTTCATATTCAGAGCTGACACAAAGTGGTTATGCAGAACTCGTAGAAATTTTCATCTTCTGAGCTGACACGACTTTATTGTTGTAGTTGCTTCTTTGCACATTATAGTTTTGAATGTAAAGCCAGAACATATACTCTGGATTTGATTTGCTAGCCGCAGGGATCTAGGCTGTTGACTTTATGTTATCTCCATTTACTGTGTGTAGGAAACCATGGAAGAACATGTCTCCACCCAATGATTTTTTATATATTGCTGATGGTGAATTTTGCCACAGACACTCAAGTAGATACCTTATTCTACATTATATGTCTGCGTGGAATGGATCTAAAGCCACGCATATTTATACGGTGAGTATAACATACTTTGTTTTAAGATTTGTAAGAGATTTTTCAAGACACGCTATATTACCCATGTGATAGTCATTAATATTTACATATATACTCGAACCTGTATACGGGATGGTATGGAGATGCGGCGGAACTTATTCGTGGATTTATTGATGCACGAAAGAAATGGATATTAGAGATTTCTTCCTGCCGATATAAAACATTATCTTAGCCGCATCATGGAATGGTCTATATAGTAGAGTTTGTGAGCCTACGACGCCGCGCTCTCCGTGACTGTATTAATTTCACGAACTTTGCTTTTTGGATTAAATGCCACTTTAATGTCGGTATTTAATTTTACAGTATTGTTATCTTATCGTGCGATCCATGTGTTTTTAAGTACAAAAGTTTAGCTGTCCCATAGCAACGTACCGTCACGAACCTAGTATAATAATAAAAACCTTTTTTATAGACAAATAAGAGATAACTATTGTATATCTTGGCTTTTATGACTTGACTTGTAGCTAAGCACTTGGCGCTATTATTCATCTTGTTCTAAGATGAAAGGGAGCACAATAATTGTCTTTTCCCACCGTAATCTTGCTTTCGTCGTCCTTTTGGAGCAGGGGGAGGGATCCCATTTGATGCTTGTTTGGAACACGATAAATTTCAGGTCTTATGTTTTCTTTTGAAAATTTTTTATATGATTTCTATAAAATTTCTATATTCCAAATAGGCTCACGAACCATAACTATTTTTCTAGTAACTAGTGAAAGGCCCGCACCACTGCTCGCGAATTGAGCAGGTAGTGATACAAACGATGGTTCTATATATTGCATAGGTAAATATTATCAGTGTCTGATAGCTAATATTTGGTACGACATTGTTCAGCTGACAGTAGTTATGTACATTAGGCTGCACCATAGACAACACCGGTGAGTTTCACAGGAGCAGGCATAGCTTATACACGCAGCAGTAGGTGGAGCAACCGTACATTCTTCAACGCGATTTTGCTGATGATCTTCTCAGAATTTTGGTTCGCGATCTGAAAGGTCCGTGTCCATCGAGACTGGAGTACCTAGGCTGGATGAATCTGTTTTTAGATTTAGACTTGTTAGTTTTACCTTGTTTGTAAAGTAAAAGCTGGGGACATTCAATTGTTCGTTAATTAATTTACCTGATCGTTGATAGTGGCACATGCATTCGGTGTGGTGACTGCATCTGCATAAGGAACCTGTGAAGAATGTAAGGGTGGATATACTGAACTCCTGTATGCTGGAAACCATGGATTGTTAGGACAAACAATTGATAAGAAATATGTTCACCCTACCTGTGTCGTCAAGGTCATTAATGTCTCCCTCGTGTTCACCGTAATCTGCTGGGAACGTGTCTGCACTGCTAATATATCCTGCCAGTTTTTGCCGTGCTGGTGAATGTAATTTACAGTGTGGATTGAAGGCTAAACAATGGAAACTGTATGATAGACAAATATACCTAGTTTTGCGGCCTCTTCTTCCGCCCAGGACTCTAGAATAAGACTGTCCTCACTGGTGAAATCAATTGCTTCAAGCCAGATGGGCCAAATATATATGAAAGCTTGGCCTGCTTCTATTTTCTTGAGACCCAAATGCGCCACTGATGGGATGTTTTCAATGCAGTGGGTCTTCGCGCTGACTTGATAAGTGTGGTTGGGACGATCAAATGTGATCTCTGGCACATCACATAGCTTTTGAAGAAGTGTTTTGATAGTAGTATCGCTGCATAGGTGTGCTGGAATGGCATCTATCAGGATCAAGGCTTGTTTGGCAGGCTTCCGCATGTTGCGCGCAATTTTGTTGTAGTCGAAGTTGAATGAATCTGCTAGCTGTGTGTGGGCTGGGACTTTTGTGGAACCATATTCTGCGTTCCATGGCATAAGACTGAGGCTGATTGGAATCATGTCTAGGCTTCCGCTTGCTAGCATAAGGGAGTAGGTAGTGGTCTGGCGCATGTGTATGAGCAAGTCTGGTCCGCATGTTGATATATCCTTGACATCAATGGAAGCATGGTACTGATGTTGAATTGCTCTCTGAATGTTATGTATGGAGATGTAGACCATCTGGTGGTTTGGAAATTTTGCAACGATAGTGTGCTGCAGGTGCATGATTCTCACCTTTATGCTATCATCCTCTTCAATGACAGTGAGGTTGGGGTATTGGTATGTACCCATGTTGTCTGCACTATATAAAAGGGACAATAGTTTGTAGTTAATGTAACTGGGATAAACTGAAGCCATAGAAATAACCGTATAATCATAGTAAGGTTGATGGACCAAATCTATAATAGAAATATAGCGTCTGTTTTGTAGGAAGCAGAAACAGTGGTAGAATTTTGTATATTGGGGATTGATGTAGGCATGACTGTGTAGAGCTAGTGCTATCCCTGCTTTTCCTCTCTCCTCTTCTTTTTCTCTATTTTTTGTCCCTTTTTTTCACTGATACGTAGTATTGAGGTTAATAGGTGCTCCATGACCTAGATGCACTGAATCTAGGGTTGTGGACGCTGTAATGGCTCAAATGTATTTAAGTAAGAGAGTGTCTACAGGGACAGAGTTCGATTAGCATTTACCTGGTATGGCGCGCTGACAGAGGGGGCTGCTGATGCTGTAGATGCCGAAAGAGCGATGAAGCGTTGGCGGGAGCTGTGGCCCGATCTCTGTTCCTGGATAATCGGCGAAGGAGAGCGCAGATCCAGTGGTTTGCACAGGTGCTTGGCGTCGGACAGCGAGTGGATGTATGGTGGAGTCTTGTGGGTGCTCCTGCTGTTGTTGAGGAGTGGCGCGGATCCGTGGTTCGCCGCCGTCAACACGGATAGCTGACTGTTGGTGTTTCTTAGCATAAGCAGAAGGAATCCACAAGCGCACGGATACAACATTGTAGCACTTCACCCGGTGATATTCAGGGTATCGTATTTCACGAGTAATCAAAGTGTAAAAGTCACTTTAACTAGTTAACCTAACGAAAAGAAGAGGATAACTTGGACAGCGAGGTTCTCCTAAGGGTAAAGATTCTAAGTGAAGATAACTTTGCTACTAAAGATTTACTTCGGGCACTAGGTAGCACTTGGTCAGCCAAGTGAGCCCGACCTGTAATTCTACACTGAACCCAAACATGAGGGATTACAAGAGACGGACAGGGTTGTCACCACTTGTCGCCTACCCTTAACCGTGGGGAACGAGGCAAACGAAGGTAACTTCTAGCTCAGACACCACATCTACGCTATCGGTTACTACTCTAGCGTTGGTCAGGAACTTCCGTATTTATCAGGAGTCCTCTATTAGACTATCCGCCACAAGGACGGACGACGGATCCACAAGTAAATAATGAACAAAGGTAATTTACTTAAGAACTCTAATCCAAAAGATGAACATGAACTTCTTACTCCAATTAGTAAGACGAACGTAGAAGTACAAGTGTAAAGGAAGTCGATAGCTCCGGCACTCCTCCTAAGTGTACAAGTGTACCGAGCACACTATTGGAGGTAGCCGACAACTCCGGTACTTTTCCAACTATTCTCTCTCTCACTTCCTATACTACTCTTAGCTAGAAGCTAAAGATATGAATGAGGCTCTTCTTCTTCTTCTTCTTCTCTTGTGTATGATTGATGATGGATGAACAGGCTTCTCCCTTGCTTATATAGCTCTCTTAGGACGGTTGTGGGGGAATATTCTCTAGGATCCACATGCAACCGTCCTTAGGGGCAATCAATGCATCGCCTGGAGAAAGGTGGGCCCAAAAGGTGGCAAGGGGGTGCAGCCGCACCCTGGGTGGCGCCTCCCTGCACCGCCTTCGCAGCGGCGGTTGTTGGATGGGTCTAGGCCTCATCTTCGTGGGTATTGCTCCCATAATTCGTAGGTATGTGGCCTTTATCTTGTTTTGCTTGATTACGCCTTTGTGATTGCACATTTTGATGTACTTTCATGTATTTGTCCTGCAAAACATGTAGACACCAAAACTTGTGGAAATTATGATTTAAAACTCCTAATTCTAAGTTTTGGTAATCATATTTGTTCTTTTTATTAATATGTTAGCGGTAAAAGATATGAGTTAAGCATCGCCAACAAACTCCCCCACACTTAGTCCTTTGCTTCTCCTCGAGTAAAGTTCTAGGACTAAGTGGGTTCATCTCCTTGACTTCTGCATACAAGTTATTCTAAGCTTCACCTTATACCTGTGAACTTGTGAGTGTCTACCAAAATATCTTGAATAATTGAAAAATGGAACAGTTTGGATTCAAATCTTCTCGCTTTACTCATGCTTAGAAACTTGGGTTTTTGCATGGTTTTGAAAATGTAAAGATAGCTTATGTTCCTTGAATGATTCTCTCATGTCACTCAAATATGTAAGTGGTTCCTCACCAAGGCATATTTTGAATATTTGCCTTCTTTTTTATCATCCTACTTCTAAAAGCTTATATGGAGCTTGGGTAGGGATGATAATTGAAACACACTTGCCTTGCATATGTTGTAAGGTCAAATTCTGGATCCTCTAGAGAGAAGTGTCATACCCTTAGATCAAAACAGTGCAAGTGTGTGGAATATGGTGGACTATACTCCTCTATTTGATATGATCTTTTTCTTCTAGCTTTTTATTTTGAGACATGGCTAGCATTATTTTCTTATGAGTCTTCATGTGCTCATTTTTTTAACACTTTGGAACCTTCATGTGTCCCTTTCTTTTTTTCAATACTTTTGCAAGGCCTTTGTGTCTCTTTTACTAGTAAAATGCTAGAGCGTGGAGTAATTATTTGATGGTGATGAAAGCATGTTTTAGCGTATTCCCAGTGTAGGAATAGCTGTTATATGTGGCGTGTACGTGAGTTTTGATCTTGGGAGCATGAAAAATCTCTCAAAAGGGATCACAGAACTTGACAAAACTCAATACAAAGTAAGAGGCATATTGATGAGGACATCCACCATGATAGTACACAACCATGTGTTGAACAAGCCAATAATGTCTACAAGGTTCCAATGACTCGGGCAAGAGTGCAGCGACTACAACATAAGGTGAATTCACTCCTTATTGAGTATGAGAATGCATCTACTAAGAATGATTTACTACCTAATAGAGGTGCAATGCTTGTACTCAGGTTTGAAGAATACTCCATGGATGGATAGGCCACTCAGCATCCAAAGAAAGCAAGTTGAAGATGACGTGTTGCTGTCCAGATTTTGACTTCCATATTCATGGTGAATTCTGTGCCAATATTGATGGTTCCAACCCAAGTGTTATATATGGATGGAAAGATAGTGAAGTCTATTTTCATATGCAACTACCGGTACGTCGTTTGGAGCTCTGTAGGCTGTGTTATCCCTGTTTTAGTGAACACTGGTCCAGAACTATGTTGCTGTCGAACTGGGCCAAAACCAAAACACATTCATCCCAACTAGGAGGGATGTTCCTTGTATAAATAGCACCCCCACTCCTCCTATAAACCCTAACCACGAATTTGACTCAGAAAAACAGAGAAGCCAAGTGCTCTTTTCCTTAGGGTTGTGCCATAGTTGCCCCCTTGAGGATTGAGAGTTTTCTCTTCCACTTGTTCTTGTATATCCTTGTGATTTGCAAGAGCATGTATCTACCTTTGTATGGTTCAGGTAGACATCAATCCATTGTGTGTGGTTGGGCGAAATCATTTGTCACAGGTGTCTGCCTAGAGTAGCTGTTGGTGCCATCGGTTCGTCAGGTTGCACGGATCAAGTTATCCCCCTTGCGATCCTACAACGAGAAGATGGGAAATCCTCCGCATCATTTTGGTATTCAGAGCTACGGTTTACTCGGTAGGATCTTTACCCTCTTTCCCTTTTACCTTTATTGTCCTAAACTAAAATATCCCAAAAATTTCCAATACCTACAACCCGATCTGAAATTTCAGTGAGTTTGGTTAAGTTCTAGTCCAATAGATCGAGTTTGGTTGCTGAATCCTTGTGTTCCCATTTCTGTTCTACCTCCGATTTGTTTTTCCCCTTGTTTCCCACCAAGAATCGTGTTCCCCCTTTTGTTCTTGTGTTCTTGGTCTGATCTATTTCATCTCCAAAAGATTTCACGCTCAGATTTGTAAGTTGAGCACAGTTCACAAAAATAAGCATAACTTCATCATCCGAAGTCCGATTTGGGTGTTCTTGAGCTAATTGGAAAGCTTGTTTGAAGGCCTGTTAGAAAAATATGTGCTTGATCTTTGAATCTTAGTTGAGATCCAGGAAAATTAGTAGTGAACCAGAGCCATCCTTTGTGGAAACTTTGAACCTAGTGAGACTAGCTATAGGTTGTTGCACGTGGGCTTTGCACTTTGCTGATCTATAAAATTGTTGAGAGAACAATATTAACTTGTATACAATCTGGTGTGATGATCTCAGTAGAAAAAAAAAAAAGAAAGAAAAAGAAAATCAAAGTACAAAAAAAGAAGAAGGAAAGATCATGTGCTGAGATCAAGACATTGGCTATTGGTCTTACTTGGTTTTTGTTCAGCTTCATATAGTCATCATTTGTGCAAATCTTGTAGCCCACCTCTCATGTGAGCAATTAGCTAGCGTCTCTCTATAACTTGTGCAGTATGGAGCTTTGTTCTTAACAACAATTGTAGTTTAGCTCAGTTTCCTTGGCTGCATCAAGTTTCAACATCATTGTGTGTGAGTTGCTAAACACATTCTACAAATTCTCTTGATTTCAGTTCAGCAACTAGCCTTTGTTCTTGTGGTTGGATTCTTACTTAACTTTACAATAGCTTGAAATTCAGTTCATCAATTCCACATATATAACATCCCCAGCTCCACAAATAAGCCAATAGTCAAGATGCACCGCAGTGCTGATTTCGCTTGATCTATCACTTTGATCGTGTCTCCTATCACCAAGGGTTGTGCAACTCGCAAGTAAGTAAGGACGCATAAGAACTTCAGTGCTAAGAGAAGGTGAGATTGAGTGTCTTCCACAAAAACGCATAGCTTGAATTGGTCTCTTTTCTTCCACTAACCATGCCAGGTGAGGATGGAGAACAACCAAGTTATGTCACACAAGAGCAATTACAGAAACTGATGAAAGACTTCAATACACAACTCAATGAAAACATGAATACCATCCAAGCCAACATGGTTGCAGAGGTTGTGAAGACCTTGAAGGCAAGTTGTGCTGCAAGTGTGCACCTTGAAGAGCTAGATGAGACTGATGAGGAGAT